GGGAATTCTCCCCTCCCTGCCTCAGCCGTTATGTTTTCGCTTTTCTAACCATAGAGTTTGCGATGATGAATTGATATCACAACACTATTGATTATTTGATTTTCTTTTTTTCCCTCCTTTCTCTCTCTCTCTCACTCTGACCCTCTCTGGTCAAATTCAAATAAATAAATAAAAGTTAAATAAAAGAATTATTTTTAAAAGATATGTAAATAAAGGGGCCAGCAGGTGGTGTGGTGGTTGAGGTGCTGGACTCCCACACGGTCTACTGTGGTTCAAGTCCTGAACCTGGCAATTTACTTTCTGACTCGCTCTCTCCCTCTCTCCCTCTCTCTGGTAAGCACATGTGCCCTATAGCAAACTTTTAAAATAATAATAATAGGGACCAGCAGTTAGCATAATGGCTATGTTGCTGAACTGTCATGTAGTCAACCGTGGTTTGAGTCCTGGACCCCCGGTGGCTTAAACTCACGCCGGGTGCGTGTGCGCGCGTGCTCAGAATCCTGAGAGGAGAATGGAGGAGAAGGGATTGCGGTGTGGCCATCCCCCCTGAGGGGGTGATTTCTCACTTTCTGTCTCTCTGTCTCTCTCTCTCTTTCTGGCGAGCACATACGCCCTATAGCAAAAACCTCACCAAAAATAATAATAATAATAATAATAAGCAAAATAAAGTAAAATAAACAATTGTTTTAAATGTAAGTAAAGATGACAGCCGCATGGGGAGGGTGGGTTGCAGGGATAATTGCCTTTCTGAGTCAGTATTAGAGCTGAGACCTCACAGATGAGCTAGAGAAAACCCTGTAGAGGTCCAGGAGACAATTATTCCAAACTGAGGGAACTGCACATACAAAGGCCTTGAGGTGAGTGAGGCTGTTCTGGAAAGCAATGCGCTAGTACTCAGCAAGTGATGTTGCATGCCCTGCTCCAGCAAGTGCCCTCCTGTGGCCTCTCGTACTGGTTCTCACACTGCACAGGCATTCATGGCAGTGTTATCCCGGAGGTGGGGCATTGGACACAATCTGGCATCCATCACCAGAGAGGTGGCTAATTAAAATGTGTACTTGTTGGGACCAGCAGTTAGCGTAATGGCTATGTCGCTGGACTCCCATGTAGTCGACCGCAGTTCAAGTCCCGGACCCGGTGGCTTAAACTCACACCGGGTGCATGTGCGTGCTTGCCCAAGATCCCGAGAGGAGAATGGAGGAGAAGGAATTGCGACGTGGCCATCCCCCCGGGGGGTGATTTCTCGCTTTCTGTCTCTCTGTCTCTCTCTGTCTGTCTGGCGAGCTCACGTGCCCTATAGCAAAAACCTCTCCCAAAAAAGTGTACTTATGGTTATATCTTAAAAACTAGGGCTGAGAGAGAAAAACATAAATCACGTTTTTTTTTTCTTTTTTTGGATAGGTTTTTTTTGCGATAGGGCGCATGCGCTCACCAGACAGACAGAGAGAGACAGAGAGACAGAAAGCAGGAAATCACCCCCCAGGGGGGATGGCCATGCCACAATCCCTTCTCCTTCGTTCTCCTCTCGGGATCTTGGGCAAGCACGCACATGCACCCGGTGTGAGTTTAAGCCACCGGGTCCGGGACTTGAACTGCGGTCGACTACATGGGAGTCCAGCGACATAGCCATTATGCTAACTGCTGGTCCCAAAACACGTATATTTGAAATAGATGCCCACAATGTACCACATTCAGGGTCTGCCCTTAGCCTAGTGGTTAAGGGAACTAGATCCCACATGGCCAGCCACAGTTCAAGACCCAGCCCAGTGGCTTGAAGAATGTCTCAGGGATGTGTACATGTGTGCCTGAAATCCTGACAGGAGGGAGAAATGGGAACAAGGGATTGTGGAGTGGCCCATTGGGAGTGCTCTCTCCCTCTGTCTATCGGCCTTTCTCTGGCTAGTGCATCCATCCTCCCACAATTAAGAAAGAAAGAGAGGAAGAAAGAGAGGAAGAAAGAGAGGAAGAAAGAGAGGAAGAGAGAGAGAAAGAGAGAAAGAAAGAAAGAAAGAAAGAAAGAAAGAAAGAAAGAAAGAAAGAAAGAAAAGAAAGAAAGAAATATTATCACCTTCTTCTAGAATATGTACAAATAGAAGATATCATTAAAGAACCAGATAGTGGTAGAGGCAAAATGTGACATTCTGCATGGCAATCCCATGTGGGAAGGTTCCTGGTTCAAGTCCAGAGACCTCCCTGAGTACCCCAGACATGTGCTTGCCCGTGATCCAGAGCTGAATTGAGGCATCTGGACTTCATTGGGGTTCTGGTTAGCTGGCTGTCTCTCTTGCTCTGGAAAGAAGTGAATGAATAAATTAAAAACAAAACTAAACTAAAAGATACATTTAAAACATTTTGGGATGATTGCCTAGAGAAGGAGATGATTTGGGGTAAAAATGGGAATTGGAGATTGGAAATAAAAGAGAGGAAAGAGAATAAACGTACAACGCAAGAGAGGGGTAATACGCCTAGACCTGAGAAGTGTGATGAACTTAACTCACTGTGCCTAAAGCCCTTCCGCCATCACACCGAAACAAACGAGCAAACAAACGAATAAATAAATAGCAAGCCCCGATTTAAGAATTACACTTATGTCCACAGCAACACCAAAAGGTAGGGCGAGGTCAGAGAGTTAGGCTCAGCTCAGACCCTGCAGGGCCAGGCGGTAAAAGCTATGGGGTTTGAACAGTACCCTGAATACAAAAGGAAGCCACTGGAAGGTTTTGAGCAGGAAAGTGACGCGATCTACGTATTTAAAGTACCGTTTGAACTCTACCTGGATGCAGATTATAGAGGAGAAAGATTGAGAAAAGAGACTTTGAGCCAAGAGATGGTCTTCATAACTCTGAGCCAGAGCCTGCCCAAGACAGACCCTCAGTCAAGGCGCCCCGGATGAATAAAACCCAGCAAAGCGTCGGGTTCAGGTACTAGCCCAGGGAGGGCTTGGTTGGTGGTTTCTTTAGCGAGTGAAGTCTTTTCCATCTTTGACATTACACCCCTGCAGAAAGGGAAGGAGAGAAAGCACACTGCGTGAAACTACAGGCCACCCGGAAGTGGTTCCCTCAGGTGTTCAAGGCACATACTGTGCCACCGCGGTCTAAGGCACCCTGGCCCTCTGGCCCTCCCTCGTGGCCACTGTCTCCATTTCCCTAAAACTGGGAATTAGGCCACTCTAGAAGGTCTCCAAAGTGATCATGCACCTTGGTTTGAGCGGAAGTTGACTTATCCCAAGAAGGCCCACCAAATTAGCTGTGCTTCGTCCTCTTCCTGTCCTGCAGCATGGGGACTGCTGGGCAATCTTTGTCCCACACATGAGGGCTCGAGTCCCAGAGACATGCCGAAGGTCTCACAGCAAGGTCACGGAGGTGAGACTGGAACCCAAGCTTCTTCAGTCCATACCAGTGCTTTTCTTGAAGATGAAAAGCAGTTTCTTACTGTGCAGCCACCCTCAACCCCTCTGCCACACAGATTTTCCTGTAAACACAGAGAGAAGCTGCCGAAGTATTTATTTTGCTTCCCTTAGATTCACTCTCTGATTTCATTTAGTAGTGTGCAGTGGAGAATGAAGAGCTGAGAGGAGAAGAGATGCTTGGCTGGGGAGTAGGAAGAAGCAGATACAAGAAGGCTGAAAAGGGGCCCAGGTGATGGCACTGGACCCACATGGGAAAGGTCCTGTGTTCGCATCTCAGGACCTCCCTGAGAACACCAGGAGCACCTGCATGTCCACGGCCCTGACTGGCTGAGGTTGGGGCCGAATCGTGACATGAAGACCTCATTGAGTTACTTCTCTCTCTCTCTCTCTCTCTCTCTCTCTGTCTTGCTTTACTGGAGGAGAGAGAGAGAGAGACAGAGAGAGAGGAAGGAATGAAATAGAAAGATATCAGGAAAAAATAACAAAACACAAAGATAAGGAGTTGGATGGCAGTGGCAGTGTAGCAGAAGAAGGATTCTCTGCAGAGATGACCCACGTGGAAGGTTCCAGATTCACATCCAGAGGCCTCCCTCAGTGTGCCACACACCCACATGCCCATGATCCAGGGCTGGCTGAGGCTGGGTGTGGATCGTGGCATCAAGACCCAGTTGGGAGTGTTCTCTCTCTCTCACACACACACACGCACACGCACACTGTGTGTGTGTCTTTCTCTCTCATGAAAAAATAAATTTAAAAACTTAAAAAAACAATGAAGCCCAAAAAGGAGACCCAAGTGGAAATCATTGGAAGGACCATCAAGTTGTACAATATAACCTTTAAAGTTTCCCAAGTTTTGTTAACATGTGTTACATAAAAGAAAAATATGATTGCTGGGGCAGACCACTGCTTTACAGGGAGACTGATTTCAATGACTCAGCAGCTTTCATAATATAAAACCCTGTCTGTTTTATATTGGCCAAAGTTTTCACCTAGCAGAGGTCTTCTCTGTCAGTTCTTGGCTAATTCAGACATGGCTGTTTTGGAAACGTGCTCTGGTGCCACTGTCCCCAGGGCATCAAGGCAGTGTGGACAGCATGGGTGTTGCCCCTTTCCTTGTCTGGACCTGCAGGAAGAGTTGGGCCTCCAACCAACACCCACCTGGCAGCAGGCTTCATGCCCGCCTGAGAGGGTGAGCACAGGGGTGTTCCAAAGAGGGGAGCCTGCGTCACCCTAGAACATGGTCTGCTTTTGACTGTTGCTACCGGGTTCGGAGTAGTTTAGATATTTATATTCAGGTCATGGAAAATAATAGAAGTCAGTTCTAGTGACTGAGCAGGTCACATCCTGT